TGTAAAGCATTCGAGAAACTCAAATCATAAAGCCCTCTAATACAAAAAAACAAACAAATCTAGAGCCAAAGATGAATCATCTCAACGTAAGTAAAACAAGACTTCTTCCAACAAAAAACAAATTCACAAAACTTCTTCCATTATAAAACCTTCACAAAACTAAAATCCATTCAAAAGCATTAGTTCTTCAAAGAAAGAGAGCTTCATAGCAAGGCTTGCAAACCGAGAATCAGTCCGTCCAAAAAGAAATGCCAAAGTGCAACAACTGGAGAATGACTCCCGTACAGAAGAAAACAAGGCAAAAACACACAAGTTAATTTTCAACTAGTATGATCCACCACAAACCCATACACACACCAACTTTTACAAATCACCATTCCACCAAATATTGTTAGGCTGAAGAAGACTTGATGTAACCTCATTGCTCTCTAAGGCTTAAGTTGGTATTACACTCAAAACAAAATCACATTGAATCCATGCAAACTCATTCAAGAGAAAATACATGAGTATTTCTCCAAGAATAGTTGCCAGCAAAAATACTTTTCCAAACATATAAATCCACAAGTAATGCCAAGATGAATTTCTTTCTCAAAACATACTTAAAGCAAAAGGTTTGTTCTCTAGAAAAATTCTTTACAATGAGAATTCCAAATGAGAAGAAAACATAGAGAAATGGAACTTGCACATTCAAAAGTGAACCCAAAATTTGATTATACAAATTGACCACAAGTATTAGAAGATCTAGATTACTTTAAGCTATCATGCCTTCATCAACACAAAAGGGAAACAACACGTGTCATACCTCTCATTCCTTGTTATATTTCAAAAGATGACATAAAACTATTTCAGGATAACATAGACTTAAAGTAAAGAAAATCCGGCCACTAGAACCATGAATCTCTATTTGAAAATATATTGTAGGGTGATCTAAATAAGCATGCAACTTCTCTGATTCAACCATAACATACAAATCCTTTGTCATTCAACATGCTCTTGTGTCAAACATACAATACTTGCCAAAGGTTTGAAATCTATTTATATACCATTGAGAAGAAGAAAAGTAAAATGAGATAAAACAAAAAGCATGTTTTCTCAAATTGGCCCAAACTAGCGATCAATATCATATGGATTCCTTAACAAGCACTTAAGTTATTCCTTAATAAATTACACTCAAAATGCGATTGAAAATAACATTCATGATATTTTATCCATGTAACAAAAGTGCTCATGAGGTGAATCATCCATGAATAGTAAGCAAACATATCTCAATAGATGAGAAGAACTTGCAAGCCACTACGTATGTAAATAACCAACCCCTTTGTTTTATAGCAATTTCTAGATTTCCAAACAAAGCATAGATAATATGGGATGCAAATAGGTTAACTGCACATCATTATTTATTTTACTCAAATACATGTACTTTCCTATCAAGCATTACCACAAACATCATAGCTCTTCCAAGAGCAATTCACCAAACACAATCGTTGCCATTGTTTGAGAAATGAAAGAGAATAAAATAAATGAGACAAAAAGAAATATGAATACGATAGTGCTTTGTTGTAAGCTCACAACACCTTCATGTAGTTCATAAAGTGTATGAAGCCTTCATAAATCATACTAACTATGCTTTGTAGAAACCATAAACGAGAGGACACGAACCATATGAGATTTACTTATGCCGGCGATGCAAACTTTCCAAAGAAACTCATGAAATTCCCACTTTTATCAAAGAAAACTCTATCAACCCTTAATAGGCATTATCACAAATAGTTTGCATGCAATTTCAACCATAAATAACATAGCCCTTTTTTTTATGATCTCTAACAACTTATACATGGGATTTCAAATCATCTATCACATAAGAATGGTAATGAAGAAGCATAGGTTCTGCATACATATCAAACAAATAAATTTATCCTCCAAATAACATGAACCAACATACTCTTTAGTATACTATGTTGAAATCCAGCCATTCACAGTGCAAAGGATCCGACAGACACAAAGATCAATCCGTGGGATACTCTCATGGATCACGCCATAATGAAGGAGCGAATTTAGGAAAGATTTTTATGTATTATTTATGTATTAAATCTGCAATTTATTATTTCCTCATTAGGATATCCTGTATAGATCTATAAATAGGGAAGATTGTAATGAATAATTTCAAGCTTTTCCCTCTCAAATTCTCATTTTTAACATGGTATCAAAGCCACCGGCCTTACTTGCTGTTGAAGAACGATCCTAGATCATCGGAGTAAAAGAAGAAGAAGCTCGGAGCATCTGACACCTGATCGTTGCCGACTCCGTGTGCGCCGAAGCCGGACTGGACGAACAATGACGGAAGTCGCTGCAGCAGACCACAGCTTACGCCAAAGACGGAAGCTGTGACTGAAGTCGCTGCAGCAGGTAAAACTTCCGATTCCGCTAACGTCGACAGCAGGATAGTCGAACATCCATGTAGGAGATGGAGCCGAAGAAGCATCGTACCTACCCGATCCGACAGGAAGAGAAGATCGGCGAAGGTGTTCCGACCTGATCGGAAGAAAAGACTCCTGCCGAGCGGCTCCCCATGTGCGTGTGTGCCCTAACCGAGCGGCTCCCTGCGACAGCTAATCCTGCGTGCAAGCAGGTGTCGTCCGATCGCATTGATTTTTGAGCTTTATGGATTTCCTACTGGTTATTGATTTCATTGATTTCTGTTTCGTATTGATTTCTGTATTGCATTGACTCATTGATCATGTACGATTGATTGATTTGACTTGATTCGATTAACCTGCATATTGTTTTCAATGTCGTGCTTTGATTTCAGTTGTAGGCTTTGGTGACCTGCTGGGCTTTGTAAGCTCATTATATGTGGTTAATAATTTCAGGTGCAGGGCCTCCAGCTTGAAGATCTTTCTGCTGAGTTCTGTAGCTTTTTCTTTTGTAGCCTGTACGGCTAGTGTAGATTTCTCTTTTGACTGTACTGTGACTGTTGTACTATATGTGAATTATAGTATCCGCTGCTGTTTCTTTTTTTTTGTAATGTAATTATCTCTGGCTCTGGGTATATGTATGTATGGATTGATAGATGAGGAAACCGATAGAAAGAAAGAAAAAAAAAAGGGGGCAATAGAACGATCAGATGAATCCTTTCGCTACACGGATCTTGGGGTTGTTACACCTATGCCCATTATCACCCGATAACACCTGTGTCTATCGGTTTCACCCCCGATTAGTCTACAACCTAGTTGGAGATGAAAGTGTAGGTAGCCCTACTGCCTATCAGTTCCACTACCTCCCTATCTGCTATTTTTCCTCTCACTTTTATAGTGTGATTTGGAATGAATACCACCACTTATAGTATGATTTGGAGTGAATCCCACCGCTGAGCTCAAGGAGACCTCTATCACATCTAAATGCAGATCTTTCTCCTTCGTCAATGCCTCACTCCCATCTCCCTCAACTTTCTCGTCATCACAGATGGTGAAAACCTGAAGAGTTCAGTCCTTACACTTGTTTCCCGGTATATACCTCTCATCACATATGAAACATAACTGTTTTTGCCTGCCTATCCTACACCTATGCTTTTGTAAGGCACTTGAAATTGCCTCCCTAGCGAACTCTAGTGTTCTTTTCCTTTGATGTTTCCATCTGAAATAATGTCGTCTGGGTCCTCGGTGCCGGGGTCGTAGAGGTATACACGTAAGCCCCTCCCATGGTGTTGCTCTGGCTGGCCTTCTCCCTCCGATATTTCTCTTCCATCCTCTAAGAAAACTCTATTGTTTCACTCAGCCCTCTAGGTCTCCAACACCCTGAGCTCTGCTCGTATATCATTCCTAAGCCCCTTCATGAAATTCCCTTCCAACATTTCCTCCAAAATTCCTCTGTCTTCCTAACAGCAGCTCAAACTTCTCTCAGTACTCCATGACTTACTCCCATCTTGAGTTAAGGCGTAGAACAGTTCGTGAAAATCTCCTTTCCAAATGGCTCAAAATGTTCTAACAAACACTCCTTAAATTTTCCCCATGAATAGATCAGATATCGAGTTTCCCTCTACTAAAACCAAGCTAGGGCTTTCCCCTCCAAACATAGCCCTATCGCCATGATTTAGACCCCATGGCTCCGCCCAACCCGTACCTCCTCCTGTCCACCTCTCACCATACCTGGGTGGTCTCCCTCATTCTTGCTGTCCTTCCTTTGGAATACCCCAATCCACCCACCATTGGAGCCCCTCGTGGTGGTCCATGAGAGAAAACACTCTCTACTTTATCATTATCTTCTGGAATTTCCTTCCCCTTTGGTTCATCCCTACGAACCGCCGGTGAGATTTTTGAATGCATTTCAATCAACTTCTTTATCGTCTTCTAAGTTTTCAAAGCGTTTTTCTATGGATAACCTAGGCCCCACCCCAAAGTGGGGTGGGAAGCAATGGGTGGAACAGGAGTTCCGCCTGCTGTACACGAGGGTCAGCCCCTCCTGGACCAGTCTAACAAACTCTTTTCCATGCAAGGAATATTTTGTAAAGCAAAATCAATGGAATGAGTGAGAAAGAGAGATTTCAGGTTATAGTTAGAGTTTAGTGGAGGATGGAGGATGAAAGAAGATGTGTTATAAAGAGAAAAGGTCTAGAGAGAGAAAGCTTGGAAAAATTATGGGGAAATTCTTAAAATTTTTTAAAAGTATGCATAACTTGGCTTTAATTCATGAATTTATTCTATGGTGATGATTGTTTATTGAATTTAGTTAGCTTATTTTAAAGTGTATTTTATAGATGCTTAGATGATGTTCATACTTAAGTGTTATATTTAAGAAGATAAATAGATGTTTTCTATCAAATAAAAATTTATTAGCATAATAACTTAAATTTAAAAAAGACACTTTATTATTAAATCAATATTGTTATTTTTTTCTAAGTTAAAATTTGAATAATTTTTTTTATCAATTTGATATAAAAATGTTACTAGTGTTTTGCATGAAGGTTGTATATATATATATTTGTCCGCATATTCTATTTCCAGATGCAGCTACTAAGGACCTTTACAAATATAAGTTCCGGAGTCATCCATTTGCTTGCTCGTTTGATAAGATCGAGTTTGTTCATCCTAGCACGATCTCAAAATTCTGGTAAGTTGCCTATAATAATAGTTATATTTTTTGTATTAATTAATTAGATGTTTCAGCATAGGAATGTGTGGGAATTTCCTTCCAATTTCATGACTCGCCCTATTTTTTAAATTACTATTTTCAGATCCTTCTGCAGGACGTGGTGCTAGTAAAAACAAGAAAATTTTAGCTGTTCTTAGAATATTTGATACTATGCCTTATCTTTTATGTACTTTCCTGAAATTACTACTTCGTACAAACTTCTTCATGTGTAACACCCCTAAATGTGTGGCTTCTTTTCAAATTATTGCTGATTTCTGTCTGACAAATGTCGGTACAACCTTCAATATCGTGAAAAGTTTCAACAAGTAAACAGAAAATTAGCCTATTTTATCTGCATGCAAATAAATGCTACATATGCTTATCTGGTTGGCAGATTTACATCTGAAGCCTGCTTTCCGAAGCAGGAAAAATAGTTACACACGCCAAAGGACTCGAAGGATTTCTTTTAAAAGGAAGCTGTTCAACGGATACTCGGTAACAGCATCTCACAAAGGGCTTAATAGAGCTGGTGTTTTGAACCTTTTTAAAAAAAAAGAGATTTTAGAAGGAAGTAATTCGGCAGCTTTGCATGGAGGTATCTTTCCTTCCTTGTAAGCCTTTAACTGCACCCGACAGTTTTACGTGTTGCATGTTGAACACTGTCAACCTTCCTCTTGCAGTAAATCGGATACGCTCCAACATCGCAGAGCAACTATCATCCCACACGCCAGAAGATTTCCACGGTAAGTTGAGTTTTGATTCTATAATTGTGGTTTAGTTCCTTTAGTCCTCGACTTTATGAGCCTTTAAAAAGCATCATTTTTTCTTGTGCAGTAAAACTCAGTATCAAGTCTTTCATGGTTCCCGAGCTTTTCATTGAAATTCCTGAAACTGCGACTGTTGGTTCTTTAAAGGTATAGATAGGTTCCTTGATGGCTTTTGTGTTTGAAAAGTTTGCTTTGACTGACATCATTTTATTGAATTTGTAAGGTACTATGCACACATGGCTCATCTAAGTTTTAAGAAACTATGCGCAGAAAAAGTGAAAATTGTGTAGGATAAGCTTCAACAATTCATCATACTCCTAGTTAATAGGTGATTGTGTCTGATTGTAATGGTTGTAAAAGGATAAACTTTCTAGGATGTCATGTACACAATGGAGGAGTTATAGTTTGTCAGTTCAACTAAATGAAATAACTTTTCATTGAATATGCTAATCGCTTTTGCAGTTGAAACTTAAGATTGCTCCTATTTGCAGTATCCAAATCAGCTTTTGTATTTACCAGTTTATCTCCTCGTTCAAACAAACATATATTGCTTAAATTTGCTACAAATTTGATTTGTTGACTCTGTAAAGGTATTGAAGTGTACTTGATGCTTACTATTTGGGCTATAATGTATTTTCGTTTTTTATAATATTTCTATGAGCTTATTTCTTTACTTTCCTTGCTTTGGGAAACTTTCTCATGAGCCTAAATGCAGTTCTCCCAAGCTTTTAATTTCTTTCCCTTGCACATGTGTTGTAGCGGACAGTTATGGAGGCAATAACTGCAATTATTGGGAGTGGATTGCATGTGGGTGTTCTTCTCCAGGGAAAGAACGTCAGAGATGATGATAGAACTTTAATTCAGGCTGGAATCTCGCATGCTAATGAATTAGATGAATTGAGTTTTACACTGGAGCCGAATTCTGGCTTCTCCCCCTCAAGATGCTCAAATACTGGGAAGCCATACTTCGTTCTTCCATGTGATAGTACCGAGCCACTGACTAGGTAATGATAATATTATTCTGTTTGCAACTTTTCTTGCTGATTGGTTTGTAAGTGCTCTGAAATTTCCTGTTATAAATCCGCATGCATTATGTAGTTTTTTTTTCTGAGTTATAATTAGCTTCTTTAACCAGTAAATTCTATTTCAATTATAATGGGGGTCTTGTGATGATGTTATATAATAACATTGATTTGATTGTCTGTTATGATTTCCATGCTATGTGATTTCTAAAGACTTTTTCTGTATGAATGTTAGACATCAACATATTCCATTGGATCTTAAAGTTGTACAATCAAATTTTGAAGCATGGGTCTACAAACACGATAAATCAACCGACATCCATGAGGTCTATCAACTTAGAAGAACTCCAGGACATTCAATATTGGCAACATAAAATTTAAGCAATTGGTCTACAAATATATAATATGTATTAATTTATTTTTATTTTATTTTACCTTGAGGTAGACCAGTTCTATTTATTCTATCTTTAGTTTGTTCTAAGTAGACCGGATCTATCTTGTAAACTTAGTCTACTCAAACAATATAAAAAGCCTCTTATTGTAAGAAAGGTTATGAAATGAATAATTTCTGATTTCTCTTCTCTTCATTCTTCTCTTTTGGAGTCTACACCTACTCTAAAGGCGCCCTTCCTTCTTGGATGCCACAAAGCTTATCAAATGATGCTCTCAGTTGCAATAACTTCACACCTCCCCAACAACAATCATCTCTTCCCTGCAGTTTTTCCTATCTCCACGGTGCAGTCAACCGACCAGCAATCCTCCTGCACTCAGCCACAGGGATCTGCATTCACACAGTCATCCGCCTTCATTCATCCACATGGCTCGGCCAGCCACCTTCGGTACTTCCCCTGCCTCTTCTTGGGCTGTTTTCTTTTCAGTTTCAGCCTTCTGCACCTATCCACACCTTGTTTTTTCCTTTCCGACCCAACATACCTGTTTTCTTGCATCTTCAAACATTGCATCAGGATCAAGAATTGGTTCCAACATCAAGAACAGGCCCAAAAATCAGATTCAAGAACAGTTTCAGAACTTGCATCAGCTTCAGATTCAGAAATCTGCAGCAATTAAGAACCAGCCATCTGTGGTTCAGCCATCGGTAGCTTCTCAAGAACCAACAGCCACCTCTGTTTCAGACTTTCAGCCTCAACAACCAGCCACCATTCTCTGTTTTTTTTTTCACCAAACACATACAACAGTTTGATCCCCTTGTTCTCCCCGCCAAGTCAGCATCTAAGTCCTCCATTTTCACTACAACTCAACGACCAGAAACTGTTTTCTATCCACGATTTGTAAATGTCGTTTCTTCTTTTCAAGATTTCTTCAGGTGCTCCGTTCCTTTGCCCTTCTTGCTTAATTTTTCTTTATTAAAATTATATCTTCTGCTAGTTTGTTTTTCTTTTTGCTTCCAGCTAAAAATACCAAAACCGCCATATTCTGCGCACATCAAAATCAATGTGAAGAACGCTGATTTAGCGGAAGCTCTTCGGGCAATGCAAACAAGTCAAGAACTACAATTCTCCAAATCCAAAATTCTCTACAAGAAGTTGATGTTCAATTTGCTTCCATTAGATCCTCCCTTCAACAATTCCATGCTTTAATGGATTTTATTGATAAAAGACTTGATTGTTTGTGTATTTAACCGTCCATCTATATTCCATCAAGTTCCTTCCTCTTCCGCTAGCACACTTGATTCCGCTGGCCGAATTCCTTCTCCACAACCGCATCCTTCTACAAGTTTATCTTTTTTTAAATCTATGAAAATTGAATTTTCTTGCTTTAATGGATCCAACATTGAAATATGGTTTGTTAAAGCACAAGAATATTTTGATTTTCACAACACTCTTGATTGTCATCGTTTTAAGATTGTTTCATTTCATCTAGAAGGTTTTGTGGCTTTAGTACCAATGGTTGCACATGAAGGGTCAATTACTTACTTGGTTTGACGTTATCATATCCTTACACCTACGATTTGGTATTTCTATAAATATGAAGATTTAAATGGAAACCTTTCAAAATTAACTCAACAAAATTTTGTTCTTGAACACCAAACCGTCTTCGAAAACCTTGCTTTTAAAGTCCCCAATTTATCTGAATCCACCCTCATTAGTTAGTTAATATATGGACATAGACAAGAATTACGCCGCAAACTTTTAAGTCAATAACTACAATTCTCCAAATCCAAAATTCTCTACAAGAAGTTGATGTTCAATTTGCTTCCATTGATGTTCATTAGCCATCGCAAGGCTTACCCCCACTTCTTACCACTGACTATCGTATTCATCTTCAATCATTATCTAAATCATTTAACATCCGCCCTTATTGTTATCCATATTTTTAAAAGGTTGCTATGAAACTATTAATTTCTGAAATATTTCACTCCATTATTTGTCATAGTCCCAACCCATTTTTTATTTCAGCATTGTTTGTTAAAAAACAGGATGATACTTGGCATTTTTGCATTGATTATAGAGCCATGAATACATTCAGCATTAAAGATAAATCTTCTTTTCCAGTGATAAATGAATTATATAGAGTTTTTTTTTCAAAAATGTATCTCTAGCTATGAGCAAGTTATGATACATTCTAAAAATATTCATAATTGTCACTATGAATTTCTCGTCATGCCTTTTGATCTTCTTCTATTCATATTTTAATGAATCAAATGTTCCATTCTTTTCTTTGTAAAATCATTATAATTTTTTGAGACATCATTATATAAAGTCCTACTCTTCAGCTTCATTTTGATCACCTTCAATTAGTTTTCAAATGCTTACAGACAACTACTCTCTTTCTTAAACCTAATAGTGATCTAGTCATGGTTAGACTCCAACCATTCAGACCTGTCGTTAGTTGCACATATTCAGAATCAACCAAACTACCCCTTCCTCCCGATAGTCACATTGGTCATGTTTCTCTTCTGAAACCTTTTGAAGGGACTCCTCTTGTTCCTTATGCCATTTTAGCTTCCCATATTATATAGATTCGCGGTTAGCCTCACCATCACGTCTTCTTACAATGGAAATTAATTACAATCGGATGATGCCTCCTGAAAAATTTTGCAGCACTCTCTTTGTATTTTTCTTCTTTCAACCTTGAGGACGAGGTTCCTTTCCAAGGCGACGGGAGTGTCATACATCAATATATTCTATTGAATCCTAAAATTGTACAATCAAACTATGAAGCATGGGCTACAAACACAACAGATCTACCGACATTCCTGAAAGACGCCCTTCCTACTTAAATGCCATGAAGCTTATCAATGAAACATGAAACGCATGAGCAAGTTGAGGTGTTATTATGTATGACTGAACGAGTTTTTATGCTTTGAAGTATGTACACCTACATGTGACGAGGGCATGACAAGATGGAAAATATCCTAGAAAGTTGGAGATAATGCACCTAGTGATGACCATATATGTTAAGTGACAATGATATTAATAACGAGTGGTAGGGAGGAAGATTGAAAGGATGAATTTTAAATTATATTTGTTTGTATATAAGAAATTTATACTGATATAATTTGAGTGTAATTTGCGACCAACATATGTCCACCTTGCATCCAAGAGGTCCCACTCGAACATATTTTAATCAGACCATTATTGTTGCACAATTATATATCTTTTAGTTATTGCTTTTGCTTATGAAATTCAAGTTTAGAAATAGTCTCTTAGTTCACTTGGCATCTTTTTATCTATATCATTTCTAATGTTTTGTTTTACATTTTAGGCTTCAAGCTGGACCTTCATTAGATCAGGGGAAAAATGATTCCAGCGCATATCATGCATTGACTTCTACAATTATCTGTCACGAAAGTAATCGTAACTCAGTTCACTCTCTATTAGATGCGCCTTTGGTGGATAAAATAGCATCTTCCCAGGCACTTCTTGCCAATCCAGCGACAAGTGTTGAGGCACTGTCAGTTGTTCCTGCGGATAAGCCTAGACGTTCTGAGCTTGTGCAGCGAAGAATCCGGAGACCTTTCACAGTTTCTGAAGTGGAGGCACTTGTCATGGCAGTTGAAAAGCTTGGAACTGGAAGGTTCAACGCTTCTATCTCACTCCTTTAGCTTCCATCTGGGTCAGTTTTTCTTATTCTCTTTTTCTTGTAGGTGGCGAGATGTTAAGATTCAGTCTTTTGATAATGCAATACATCGCACTTACGTTGATTTGAAGGTGAGAGAAGGATGTCTCCATATTCTTCGGCGTTTTTGGTCATTTTTAACTTTGAAGACTCATTTTTAGTGATCTCATCTTGTCTTGGGTTGCCATCATTAATGCTGCATTTGGGCCAATTTTTTTTCATAGCCATATTTTCTAAAAAACTGCCTTAATCTTATATAACTATAGCTTTGTTATTGCTATTCATAATTTTTTATGATATGAAGCAACTTTTTAAGACTAAGATTTCATTTGAGATGATTTTCTTATTACTTTCAAAAGCAGTTTTTTAATTAAAAAAAATTCTTGAAAGCTCTGAAGAATAGCGACTAAAAGTTGTCTCAAACAAAACGAAGATCTGTTAGTGCAGAAGCTTTCAAAAATTTTTTTAACAATAATTCTATAACTACTTTTACAGCCAGCCACGACTGACCCCATTGGATTCTAGGCTTTGTTTGGCATGGTTTTCTTATTGCTTCCTAAAGCAGTTTTCTAGTTAAAAAATTTAAAATTTTGTACTAAAAAACTATTTTAGGAAGCAGTAAGAAAGCCGTCCCAAATGAAGCTCAAGTTTCTTTTATTAAAAAGCAATTTACCCTAGTCTTTTCACATAATATTTCTAGTAAAACGCAACTGTAGTTGTTTCTCGGTACAAAGTTGAAAGCTATTATATTCTTTTCTGGTCAATGATTTTTAAGACCATGATTGGCCATAGTAATGGTGTCTAAGACACCTGGATGTGCTAGAATTGCTTCATAGACCCTCTTCCAGATCTGTTGAAATTGCCAACCTTACATTGAATAGCTTCCCTTGCTTAAAATCAGGCATTAATTGCTTCATCTCGTGGTGGTGGTGATCATTTGCAGGACAAGTGGAAGACATTGGTGCACACAGCGAGAATCTCCCCTCAGCACAGAAGGGGAGAACCTGTCCCTCAAGAATTACTGGACAGGGTTCTCCTTGCTCATTCTTACTGGTCCCAGCGGCAGGCGAAGCTTCAGGCGAAAACATCTTCGATATCTTCGCCTGAAGCTTGTCTGGGACTGTTATCTGAAGTTACCATTAATTAACAGCAGATAGTGCGATCCATGTAAAAAATTCTACAAGTACAGGTAAACATTTATTTGAAGATATTGGTTAAGGCAATAATAGGTTATGTTTCTGTAATTTTCTGTAACAGACAACATAATTCTTGAAAGCCAGGCGTCCTACTCTTTGTGAATTCCCTAAAGGAGAGGGCTTTCTTGGTGCTTGTACATGATTTTAGTTGGGAGATTTACTTAAAATAAGTCTGCTATTCTGACAGTCTTTGCTGCTGGTTAGTTGGATTGGTTTTCTAATATGTTCATTTCATTCTTTAATCTTACAATGGTTTGACTGAAAAGAAATTAAGTGACGAGCAAGCACTGTCTTTAGGCCAATCAAAATTCCGGTCGACCTAGCATGCAACCCTTAAAACTTTCACTGTTTGATAAGGGATTTGAACTAGGGACCTTAGCTTTGTCCAGCCGGCTCTTTACCACTTGGACAAGCAGCTATGGGTAATAATTTGATTTGGAACCTAATATGATCTCAGTCATTCCTTTTTGGTGGTTTGGTAAAATCTTTTTATGAGTTACCGACCAAACACATTTCCGTTTACTTTTTTCCTTGGAGTCAATTATTGCAGAAATTTTTTTAAACTGCGCAGAAGTTGTATGTTCTGTAAGGATATATCAAGAAAAATTTGATTTTATATGCCTCATATAATATAATATAATTATAATTAGAGAAATATATCTTCATTTTTTTTTAGAAAATATTTTGAACAAAAATGTTTCTGCTTTTTTTCACGAACAACTTATTTAATGCATTCAAAACAATATAGATTTAAATAATGTTCAAAGCATATTTTAGATTATGTTTGAGCATCTTTTGAACTTTGTTAGAATGCGATCTGAATCATATTTAAGCAATGTTTAAATAAGTTTGAGCAAGATTTGTACATGAATTGGAGAAAATTCAAATCAATTTTAGGATAATTTTTTATTGTTTTTTAAAACAGTTTTTAATAAAAAAAAATTTGTAATTAGAAATTTAATATTAAAAAATTATTTTAAAAATAATAAGAAATTTATCTCAAATAAAATCTAAGATATGATGGTAAATTATAATGATTTTCTTAATTACTCCCTCAGCTCTATATGTGACTCAAGCCGTATCATATCTCTTTATATGTATGATTAGAGCAAATGTTTATGTACATAATACATCAAGTGGAGCAATAATATAAATTGAACAATGATCGAACATTGTTTGAGTACTATTCAATCTTTGTTTTACACATGATCAAATCTTATTCAAATTATGTTCAAATCTTTTTTGAGACTTATTCAAATATTACTCTCTTTTTTTTTTGGATAAAACCCACATAAGGGTCTATGAGTTTCACAAAAGAAAAAAGAACAAGTCCTTAGAGGATCAAAAGCTTACTAAAAATACAGTCTTGAAGAAAAACCTATAAGCTAATGATCCAACTAAATATAATCAAATATGTAGGAAAATAAAGGAATAACACCATCACATAATGAGGAACTAATCCCATAACAGGAAGGATATCGCAAATGTTTATGTACATAATACATCAACTCGAATGAATCAATTACAAAAGAGGTTTTGATGGAACAATAATATAAATTGAACAATGATCGAACATTGCTCGAACACTATTCAATCCTTGCTCTACACATGATCAAATCTTATTCAAACTATGTTCAAATCTTCTTTGAGACTTATTCAAATATTACTCTCTTTTTTTTTTGGATAAAACCCACACAAGGGTCTATGAGTTTCACAAAAGAAAAAAGAACAAGTTCTTAGAGGATCAAAAGCTTACCAAAAATGCATTCTTGAAGAAAAACCTGTGAGCTAATGATCCAACTAAATACAATCAAACATATAGGAAAATAAAGGAATAAAACCATCACAGAATGAAGAACTAATCCCATAACATAAAGGATATCAGAAACACAGTAAGTAGCAACCGATAACAATACAAAAATATCCACAAAAATATCACAAAAACAAAAACACAAGGCTACAAGCCAGTTGGGCTCAGTCAATGGCAATGTTTACTGCAACCAATCAAATGGAAGGCACGGACCATCCAGAGGAGGAAACAAGCAACATCCCACACCATCAGAAGGACAAACATAGTCTCACATCCCAAACAAAGGCTACCAAGTAGGATACAAAGCACATCACCTATGGTTGCCAACAAGCCAAGCTAATTAGATGTTGAGTAAATCGCCTCATTATTGTCTGTCCATAAAACCTCCAGCACCACAATCATTACTCCAATCATGATAAAGCCTTACTCAAACTAGGGTTCTAACTTTTATCGAACCTTATTCAATTTGTATTCAAAACTTATCCAAGTTTTAAACAAATTTTGTTAGACTCTTCTTCGATATTATTTGAACCTTATTTGAAAATATGAATAAGGTTAGAATAAGATTTGACCAAATGTCAAAAGTAAATAATTTGATATCTAATATTATTATGGGTTTATGATCTATAAGTATTTATTTCAAACATAAATAACCAATCTTTTACTCTTCAAATGAAAACATGTAAAAGGTGTTAAGCCAAATTAATGATAAAATGATAATAAAAACTTATGATTTTCTATTAAAATTTGGAAGCAAGTAAAATCAGCAAACAAATGAATTAGTCTTAACAAAATTAGATTTTGGTGCATCATTTTTTTGGACCAAAGTAAATAATTTTAAACCGACAAGTAACAATTGTCAAATAGAGAAAACTCAAGTCTCATAATTGTTTTATAGAGGAGGTTTTATCCACGATTAGTTTGTTGTATTTATACAAAACTTGAAAGTTTTTTATATCTGAGAATTGGTGGATATACAAAATTATCTCAACTTGATTAAGAAATATTTAAATATTCAAATATTTATTTGCCCCAAAGCATTTGATCAACTTGCTTTCAAAGGCAATTTATAACTTATAATATGAACTCAGTGCTTCATATATCACTACAATTTATTTATTTATTGTATTATTTTATTCATATTCTATCATGAAATAAATGTTTATTTGATATCCTATCTATTTAGTATTTTCATTTTAAAAGCAATCCAACTAATTGTTCTTTATAAGTTGGTCCCATTCAACACTTCTTGGAAAAAAAAACTTTAACGAGTTTAATCCCCTATGGAGTTTATACTTTGCACATGTGATGCATATTTTCCTAATTTAACGCATATAGTGGGTTAAATTTATTATAATAAATACAATCTGAATGATAATATTTATTTCCCTCAATAGTCTGATATTTTAAGTCTTAATCATAATCATTGGAATCAAGATGAATATTTTGATTCAACTCCTTCTATGAAAATCTTTTGTAAGTTAGAATCCTAAGGGGATTGTTTGTATTTCTTGTAACATAAGTCTCGATGGACTTTTTATGAAAGCCAGTTTTCTTCAATGTTAAGTTTTCTTTTTAGGTTCGTCCGGATGAAGGGAGGTTCGTCCGGGACGAATAGTAGAAACATTGGCAACCTGAGAGCATCATCTCAGGACGATCATAAGTACGAAGGCAACTCGAGGGCATCGTCCAAAGACGTAAGAAATTTTCGTCTAAACGATTGGAGTCCAGAGGAGATCGTCCTGGGACGATTGAGGCATATCGTCCGGACGATCGAGTTTTATAAATATCCGAATAGTGATATTTTTGAAGAGAGAGAAAGGGCAAGAGAGAGAAAAAAGGAAAAGAGGAAGAAATTCGTGTTTTGAGTGTCTTCGGTCCGTTTTCGTCCGTCGTCGTAGTTGGGAAAGTTGACCGACTCAAGGTAAGACACATTATGCCTATCTCAATTTTCAAAAATGTGGTTTTTGACGGATTTTCTGTTTAAAATTTTATTTCCGTTAGCGGAAAACGGATATAACTTTGCACCGGTTAAATTTCTACCGCGTAACTTTTGGTATGCTTTTGAGATAATGATTTTACACGCTTTGAGTATTTTCTGGAAAATTTTCACCGGATATTTTGAATTCTACAAGGTTTTTATCGAATATAAAATTTTCCGGATGTTGAAACATGTCGCTTCAGTACAATGAAAGTCTTAGAATGATGTTTTACACAATCTCTAGTAATTTGGTAATTTTCTGAAACTGTGAATTTTTGATATGTTGAATTTCTGTTGTCTGTTGTTATACCCTCTAACGATTTTCTGATACGAATTTGATTTCTCTGAATCTAATATGATTTAATGTTTGATGTAATGTACTAATATGATTTGATGTTTTGATGTGATTTGAATGATATCAGAAGGGAGTTGTAAGGGGTCAGAATCCTTTGAGATTCTGTCTGTGTCAGGGAAGGGAGACATAAGGGGCCAGAATCATTTGAGATTTTATCTGGGTCCGGAATATGAAAATGAATTCTGATCTGATAATTTTGTATATATGATATATTATGGTGCTATAAGCACAAAGGGAGGCATAAGGGGCTAGAATCCTTTGAGATTCTATCTGTGTCAGGGAAGGGAGGCATAAGGGGCCAGAATCCTTTGAGATTCTATTTGGGTCAAGAATATGTGATTTGAAATATGCTTTGAATTATGATTTGAAATGTGATTCTGAAATGTGATTTGAACGATTCTGTGATATGAATTTGATTCAGTTCTTTTGTATATGTTATTTGATTCCGTATGATTATATGTTCTGTACCTGTTATATGAATTATATCTGATTATCCGATTCTGTACAATCATCTAAATTCTATTTGTATATCTGGATTTATGATGAATATTTGACTTTTGTACGTTTATCTGAGTAAACTATTCTTTTAAAAGTTTATGGGAATTGTTTTGATATGTGAGAATATGAAAATTTAGATCGGCTAGTGTAGTCTTGCTGAGCTGTTAGCTCACTGTGGTTATCTTCATGATTTTCAGGTTTTGAAAAAGGGAAAGAAGTTGTGGACTAGCCGTTCAGGATCTGATTTGAAGTCATATGTATTTTTGTTCTTTTGATTTTTGTACAGTCATAACTTTTTCTGTTATGTTATATTCTTTCTGTTTAAAGCCATGAACTGGAGTGTATATGATTATTTTGATGAATGGAAAATAAGAAAATGTGGGATGAGCTTTTCTGTATATTTGAATGTTTATATATAGTTGCTTTGAAAAATTTTTTGTAGACTCGTGTATATTGGAAGAAAGTCTGAAAACAAATTCCAAAGTTAGATCCTGGATTCGTCCGTCGCGACTCAACACGATGGGATTTGTTCCGGTCGAGTTGGGTCGTGACACTTTTGCACTTTGCATTTAGTGTATAATCACTCACTAAGAATGTTTTTAATTTTATTTAGATCATTGAGTCAAAAGTATTTATATGCTTGAGATATAACTTCTCCTTTTATAGGAGTAAGATTCTTTTTTTTTTTTCTCTTTCCAATAGTGATATGATTTTACTTGATTTCTCATTCCATAAAAGTAAGATTCCCTTTTAATATCCTTCCATAGGTGACATAATCTCTTGGGTTCCTCTTTCATAGGTATATAATTATCTTTAATTAGTTTTCTTTCATATGTGTAGAATTAAACCCCTTGATTGTCCTTCCATAGATGTTAGTCCAATTAACATCCTCCTTATTATAGGTAAAGATAAAATCTATCATTATTTTTAAATGTTTTGATCATAAATTGAAAGATGTTTTTTCCATGGTTGGGTGTCTGGACCATGTCACAGTAGGTGGTACATCTTTCCATCTTATATATTTTTATATGTTCAAATCTTAGAATAACAAACATGTTGCCCTTGATTGGTTGTTGGAATATTGACATGATGGGTACATTATTTGATCTTATATTTAAACATTCCAATCAAAAGTTAATGTACATTTCACCCATTATTGCTTGTTCGAATAATGGTACAACATTTCATTTTATTTTTAAATGTTTGAATCTTTAATTGGTTGAAAAACATTATTCCCTAAGTTGGCTGTTGAATTATGATGTGATGAATATACATTGATTCTTTGAAAAATAATATAATTTTAATTCGTTGCATAGATCATGATGGAACATGCATGTACGCTATTCCATCTTATCTTTACAAGTCTGAATCATATTTTGGTAGACATTATATCGATTTATTAGTTTCCTATCTCATGAAATGTTGGTACACCATTTTTCAAGTTATGATTTCTTAGATCATAAGTTGAAGGGACTTTCATGTGTCAATGGTCTTTGGTTATCTTTGAGGTAGGAAATGACATCCCGAGCAATGAGTAATTCTTATATTGAAAGTTATGTAGAGATGTGTCTCAATAATAGAACACTTGAGATATATCCTTACTTCCATAAGATAAACAATTTCCATTGCGGATACTAAAAAATAGTACAAAGACTAATTAAGTTAGAACAAAAATATCATCCATCTCATCCTCAAATAGTCCTCTAGCCTCAACTCTTCTTGATTAGGTTATCCTCTTGCACATAACCAATAAGTAGTTAGTTACAAGAAAATAATAGTTAAAGATTAGAATGCTAAGTTCTAGTGATGAGGCCTTCTTCACCTGTTTGTAGTTTTTAGGTTACTTTTGGTGGACAATATAAAATTCACCTAGCCAGCTAATAGCATCCATGAGTTGGAATAATTCTTTATCATCTTAATTTGAATCATTCTTATCCAAAAATATAAGATAATTTGTATTGAAAATTTTGACTTTATATGCCTCATAATAGCATAAATTAGAGAATTATGCATGATATTTATTTCTTCGAGAAATATGTCAAAAGTTTATCTCGGTCTCAATTATTCACAATGAGGGATAACTTCTTGTATTCGCAAGCTGTATTGTGAAGTCGAATATTCTATAATGAGTCGAAAATGTTAGAATTTGAACTTAGTTCAAACCAAGTTCAAATTGGTTCGAACTTTGTTCAAATAAGATTCAAATTTATCGCCAACTTTTATTTGAATTGACTTTTAACCTGATTATGAACTCCTTTTCTCCTCATATGCTACACTCTATTGATATCCATAGCAAGCAACCATTGCGAACCACTCTTCTATTCACATGCTCTCGGGCTTGTCAATAGCTGCCCCAAGCAAGCTCCCATCGCCAAAACCTCTCATATTCGCACACCATCGATCCTATCGACACCATCCAGAAGCTAAATTTTGTGGCAAACAACTCTCATATTTTCATGTTGATGATCAATCAAAACTATCATCAAGCGAGCACTTGTCACAAACATATCTCAACTTCACATGTCGGTCCCATCAATGCCATCAACAAAAAAGTTGCTATTGCAAACCTCTCTCGCTTCATATGCCATGACTAGATAACACGATTTATAAATATTATCGGATGAGCACGATTTAAATTGTTTTAACCAGCAGATTGGGCCAGGCCCCTCTGGGCTGGGCTTCAGCCGGTCCAAACCCAGCCTTTTTTGATATGTTGAAGGGCATTTTGGGAATTATTGGTGAAATGATCGGCTATAAAATGAAGGGCAGAGAAACGCCTTCAGCAAATTTAGGCCGTCAATTTCCTTCATTACGATCAGTGCAGGTGATCAGCGTGTACAACCCAACGAAATCTGGATCATTCAGTGCCTTTCGAGGGTTTTGAGCCGGTAGTAGCATTTGAGAAGCCACTACTCTAGCCTCAGTCGCCGATTAACCCTCTTCTTCTCTCTTTGCTCGCTAACGCATTCGGAGCCTAAGGTACTCCACAACCCTATTGATTCTCATTTTCTATGTTATTTTGCTTTGGTTTCTACTTTTTTCCTTTGATTTCCATCATTGCATGGTAGATTCTTCATGCTCTTCTTAGGGTTTTTATTTATAGCTGTATCTCCTGTTCTTATAATAGAGGGTTGAAGGAGGAGTTACTATTCGTTTTCATTTACCCCCAAATCAGCCACCTCTCCATGGTTTGTGATTTTCTACTATTTTAACTGGAAACGGACTTTTAGTGGTATTCTTTGAATTTTCTCCTTTGTTGTGCGCTGTGTAGTTTGAGCTTTTTGTTGGTGAAAAATTGGTTAGTAAAAATGTTGAGGAGAATGCCCTAATATGTAAATCATGTTGAATGATATATTAATACTTTGAGGATTTTATTTGTTTCCAAGCGGTAGCTGAGTAGTTAGGCGATCCCCTCCTAGTATAAGTTGCTTATTCCTAAATTTTTAAGAATCTATTTGTCTTGCTCTCAAAAATGGCATGCTCTTTTGCTCTAGTATTGCAACCTTACCCTATATTGCAAAAAAGTAGGGATTCTATGAATTCGGATTGATATGTATTGTGTACAGTCATATTTATGAACCTCTGTGCAAAAATTAAGAAAATAATGATGTTAGCTATCAAAGATCTCCTGAATTAGACTTTTGAAAAATAGAAATCTGTCCTAAATTATGCAACAAAGAAGAATCATAACAATGCATGGAATCATCCCACATAGCCAAAGAACCAATGCATAATAATACATAGAATATTCTTGTATAAACAATGAACTAATCATAATATTGCATAGGATCATCTCACATAGGTAAAAAACCAAGGAAATTCAATATTCCCCATACGCTGGAGTTTGTATGTCAATGTCATCCGACTTATAGACCAAGAAGTGGAAGTCATCCTTTTCTAGAGCTTTGGTGAAGTTATTTGCACAGTGTAGTTTTGTTGGAACATGCAATATCAATATCGATGCCTACATCATTTGTGTGTTCATGAAAAAAAGATTGGTAGTAATGTGACTTGTATGCTTATTTTATTACTTTTGAATTATTAAAACCATGAGGAATTTATGCGTAGGCTTCCTTCTTTATGTTTCCATGCATGAATGAGTTGTTTATATTCAGTTGATGCATTTTCTAATTTTTTACTAGCTATATGGTAAGTAGATGCAACACACTTTATAATCATGCCCCTTAACTTAGGTGTACCCTTTACAACTAGGTGTGCCTTGTACCATTTAATTTTTCATCTGTGTGGCACTTGATTTTATAAACCCATTTGCAATTGATGGGTTTCTTCATGAGTGACAATAGTTTAATGCTCCACTTCACATTCTTTTCTAATGTTTTTATTTCTTGTTCCAAAGCCTCTTGTTATTGAGTATCTTTCATAGCTTGAAAATAATTCTTGGGTTTTGTTTTGAACATCTAAGTTGCCATGAATGCCTTGTGAGGTCAATCAAATGTTCATAAGATGTGTAACTTTGTATTATAGACATAGATAAGAGATCCTGGGGATGGATATGAGGTTTTATTTAAATTTGGTCGTTTGGCATGAAAAATACTTTAAGATGAATAATTGATCTTCAATTCTTAATTGGATTCATTTTTGGAATTGACTCATTATTGATTACTCTACTTTTGTGAGCTCCATTGCATTATGATATTTCCTAATTTGACCATGTAGCTGCACATGTGATCTTTCATGTGTCTTAGTTGATTATGGGTTCTTACATAGGGTTATTGCAAAATTAATGTAACTTGTGAGTAGTGGTTAAGAGCCCAAAAACCTTGAGCTTGTTTGTGCTTCAAATGTTGGAAGTGGAACTATTGGAGCATTGCAATTTTCTTCTTGGGTTTATGCAAAAATAATTTTTTTTTAACCAAATACTAGATTTGTTAAAGAAATTTTTTTAGCATCAATGTCAAATAACTTCCATCATTTTTAGGCAAAAGAATATCCAATGAATTTTTTTTTATTCTATTTTGAAATTTGTCTCTTAATCTCATCCTCCAATTAGGTTGGTAACATGATCCAAAATTAGACATGGTCATATAATATCACTCATCAAAACAAGATTTCATAGTGTGTTTTACCAATCAATGAATTCGTGAGTGTGTAGTTTAAAACCTAAGCCCTAAGAGATAATTGTGATTAAAATCTCAAAGCCAACTCCATATTGAAGATAATATGGTGTTTGTGTTTGACTTCCAAGTTATCGTGGAGGGTTAACACAAGATGTTTGGTTTATTATTCCATTGTTTGAATGAGACAATATAATTTTAAATGAAATAAATTTCCTTCTATTATTCTTTGTGAGTAGGGGTGTCAAAATGGGTTAACGGGTCGAGTTTGGATTTGACCTAAAATTAATGGCCCGAATTCAATCAACTTGAACCCAAGTCATTTAATAAATGAGGTCAAAATTATAGACCTGTACCTAACTCGTTGGTAACATGAATGACCCAAACCTGGCCCAATAACCTATTATGATTAATTTTTTTAGAGTTGGTCAACTATAGATTAGAGATAAATTGATAAAAAATAAGCATATTATACCAACAAGTAAAATAATTTTAGGAAAAAAAGGATAATTTTTGGGTCATAATCGGGTTCACGGGTTAACATGAACCTGACCTGTTTAATAAATAAATGGATTGGAATTGTGAACCCGAACTAGACCTGCTTCTTAAATGGGTCAGTTCGAATGGATTTTTTAGGTTGGGTTTGTGGTCATGTTGGCTGGTTGGGTCGTTTTTTGACACCTCTGTTTGTGAGCACTTTAATGATATGTCAAAATAGAGTTTGTTTTGTTTAAAAAAAAATCTAATTAAAGGCTTATATGTCCCTAATTTTCTTTCAAGAAATAAATATAACCATCTCTGATATGATAACTTGTAAATATTTGAAAAAGTATTATGCAGATATGCGGAGGGTGTGTTGTAGGGTCATTATATATTAAGTTAATAATGAATTAAATGAAAATACATGGAGGTTTTAGTCACCAAATAATAAAGGTTCTCTAGTTTGCTTAGCATGTAAACAAAAATCCTAATAATTGTGTGAAGAAGCCCAAAGTAGTCTCCTGAATATTTGTATGTGGACAATTTAATTCATGAGTATTACTTTTCTCTAATTTAGCCCATTGGCTATACAAAATTGATCCTCAATGGTCTATTAGGTAAACATTATGAAAAATGAGTTTACAAAATTATCCCAATTTAGTCCTCAAGGAACCATTCAGGATCAAATTTGTATAATTGTGTGACCAAATTGGAGAAATGTGATACTTTGGGCTTAAATTGACCACATATGAATATTGGACGGACTATTTTGTGCTTCTCCCTAAAAATGTTGTTTATTTTATTTATCTGAAGATATGGGAATAAAATCAAGACTTTGGGATGACCATGTTGGTGATGTTGTAGATCATAGTTCTTTGAATTGATGACGGTATAGGAAGATAATGATTCCATGCATTTGAGATGATCGACCTCAACCACCCACCCACACATATTTGATTCTCAGAGGTGATGCCTTGCGCAATTCAAATTTTATAAAATGCTATAAGCGAAAAATTTAATTGGCTATCCACCTCCAGTTGAATATGACATTGCAAGCGAAATCATGAATGCATAAGATATTTTGCAATATTAACTTGGAGCACAAGTACACTTGATCCATTATCTCAGCACAGACGATTCTCTCATTTTGGAGTTGTAGAGAGCAATGCACGCACATCTTATTTGGCTTTTTAAGGTAAATTCATATTTCTTACTGTATGCATTGAAGCATGAATATCAAGTATCCACTCATGTTTATATGAGGTATAACTTTTACCTAATATTGGCCAATTGAGACTTTCATACCATTAACATACTTGGAACTTTCATGCTATAAAACTTAGCCAATAGTTGTTTATTGCTCCCTTATGACTCCTGGAACCAGTTGTGCTTGACTTTACTGACTTGAATGAGCTACTGCTGCAAATTGAGGTCTGGCAAGTGAGGTAATGTTTGTAGGCTAAGTTATATCTTTGTTAGTTGGACTATTGTAGGCCCACACCCTTTGTTCTTTCTGCGAGATCCTAATCTTGATTTTGTCGGAGCACTTCTTCTTTTCATGTCCTACTTTGTGGTAATGTTTGCACTATGGTTTGCTTCTTTGATTTAAGTTTTTATTGTTCTTTCATTTTCTATTCACAAAACAAGGAAGGTCATCATCTTGACTCATTCTTCCTTTCCATTGGCTATCTTCCTTTGTCGGTCTAGTTGAATTGTCATTGAATATGGCTTGGTCAAGGATGGTAAATATTCAATGCTTAGGATTTGTGAATGGATCATTCTGTATGTCTGAATATTGAGCCCATGAGAAACTGGTGATTTTTTTAAACTTTCTTTTCTTTCAAATGCTCATTTTCTGTTGCCTATGTGCAACCTTGCGTCCTAAAGTTTTCATATAAAATTGTCTCTTGTGTCTTTCAATTTTGTCTAATAGCTTGCCATCAATAGCACCTATTGAAGAATAGTTTCAAATTTATTTTGGGAAACTCACATATCATTATCTTGAGAGAATCTCTCTTTCAGTTTATCCTATACAGCTTTTCCTTCTTCGGGGCAGGCAATGCTATCATTAAGACTTGTCAAGAGAGTTAAAAATCCGTCAGTAAACATGAATTTACATGCCTCCAGATAATTGAGTTCAACTGTATGTGCTACTCTATTTAGTGTTCCATTAACAAAACACGAGCTTATTATTTGCTTGCAACGTGTTTCTCATCTTCCTTGGCCAGGTCAAATAGTTGTATTTGTTGAGAATACCTATGACGGGTGGAGTTTTTGGATTAGCAGAGGATGTAGCGGGTGTTCTGTGATTTTTTGAAGAGCTCTTAGGGTTCCTTTCGTGAGTGGTGTGGAGGTATTTTTAGGGGTCCATTGATCTCAATGAAGTCAGCTCTGATTCCTCGTCGAAATAGGGATTTAACAAATTCTCTTTTATGTGATATGTATCAAGTACAACCATGTTTATAGGTCTTTGTATGTGCTATAAAAGAAAAAAAAAAGAGCTACAAAAGCATTCCTAGAATTCGAAGTTATCCGAAATAAACAACTAAGTGAACCATAGTGCTTAAAATAGAATCATCCTACATAGGCATGGAACTAATGCATAGAATAATGATATGTAGGCAATGAACCAATGCATGGGATCATTCCAAGATGGACAACATAATAATGTATATAATCAGTCAATCACAATATAGCCTAGGTAATTCAATGTGTATGTCTTGCAATTTATTTTCCTCATGATCCAGTAAGCTGTTAGACCAATTTAGGTTTACCTTTTGATACATAATGCAGATCTTGAGTTTTGGATTTAATTTGTCCTTTTGTGTTTGTTCACCACCACATGCTATTTCTATCATCAAGGAAACAAACACGGAGTTTGTTAAATGAATAGAAGAATGTAAAAATCCAAGAACTTTTTGGTTTTACTTGATGTTACCATTGATTAATGCACTTTTAGGTAATCTGTGGTTTGGCGATGCTACATCATCATAGTTTCCTTCACACTTGTTCCATATTTTTTTTTCCAATTATTTGGATCGCATAGAAGATTAACATGCGTGGTAATGATATAGATGGCTTTTTCATTTATCACTATACTTGTGGGAGGTGTATTTTGCTTAATTTAGTGAAACCTTTTTCCTTGATCGGCTACATTAATTGGAGATTTTTCTATTCAAGCATGTGATGAGCGTCTTCCCATTGCTATTGATGGCTTGACCTATTGCGACATTAATTATAACTACTCTGACATATTAACTGTTGTGAATTTTAGCAAGTATGGCAACAGAAGATTGTAAGGAGTTGCTTACCAGTGGTAGTCAACCTGATAATGTTGAAAATGACCTTTATAATGATGTCAATATTACGGCAATTTTAATCACTGGTGAAAAGAAAGGAGATACTGCACTTGAAGATGACAAAATGGCTGAAGTAGTTAACGTAAATGCTGTGCAAGAAATTGCTGCAGAAATTTCTACGGCTATAGTTGATGGGCATGAGAAGGCAGATGAAGTGGGTGGCATTGATGTAGAAAATGACAAGAAGGTTGAAGCAGTAAATAGTTCTCCCAACAAGGAAACAAAGAAAATAGTAAGGAAAAGGAAGAAGAATGCTGAAGAGGCCTCTGCTCATACTGTGTCATCTTCTCCCATGACAACAAAAAGGAAAACGATTGATGCTATTCCTGAAGATGAGGTGGAGAAAGCAGATGGTAAAGATGTAGAGGTTGGTAAAAAGGTAGAAGGGGCAGCAAACAAATCTGTAAAAGTAGCAAAGAAGAAAATTGTTGCGAATGTGAAAGGTGGGAGTTCCAATGCTGAGTCAGCTCCAACTAAATCACCAAATGTTGCAGCTGTAGAAGATACTTACGGTATTGAAGAAAATGCAGAACAAAATAGAGAAGTTGATGAAAATCATGCTTCTGCTACAAAAAATGCCACTCCTGCAATTGAGAAGAAGGACGCAGAAGGCACAAAAGGTAAAAATATAAAGAATAGAAAGAAGAGGGTAGCTGGTAGTTCTTCTTCCTTCTATGCTGATAAAATTAATACTGCAGATAAACCAAGTCCTTCGGCTTCAGGGAAACATTTAAAGAAAGATGGCACTGCAGAGAAAATATTAAAGAAGGTTGATGGTATGGGCTTGATATTCATGTGTAGCGCTAAGACCAAGAAAGATTGTTTTAAGTATAATGTCTTTGGTCTCCCTGAAAGCAAGAAGGCGCTAGTAGCAAAGATTTATAAGGGTATGAGGTTATTTTTATTTGATTTTGATCTTAAGCTGCTATATGGAATCTACAAGGCTGCAGGTCCTGGAGGCTACAATATTGAGCCTAAGGCATTTAATTCAAAATTCCCATCTCAGGTTAGGATGTGTTCTTCCCTTTACTTTTAGTTCCAAGTATTAACTTGAACGTGCTTGTAATTTTTCATTCCAAACAAATATTTTCCTTTTGACATGTCATTGAGTGGCATATGTGGGTAAAGGTGGGGTTCTTGTCTAACTAAGATTGATGCATCCCTCTAACAAGTAATTTAGAGTTAGATTCGATCTACTGATACACCAAATATGCAATTTTGGTCCAAAAACAATCTATTAATCACAACATATTTAATAATTTTGATGAAAACCTAAATGGTATTCAATTCAAGTGAAATGATTTGACTTTATGATTGAAACTACAACAAGAATCAAAATCACAGCCACACAATCAATTGAAGTTTCATGCAAATGATTTAAGAAATATTAGTTGCACTCTCAGCCAATACGGTAAAGGAAGAACATTAAATTAAGAGAAGGGATGAAACAGAAAGAAGTAATTGATAGGTAAGGCTCCTAAGGAGATTATCTTATTTAGAATGTTGCAATTGTCATACTTGATAAATGATTAGAATCTCAAAAGAAGAAAGTTGATTTGCACATTAAACAAATATTATTAGCAAATATTATTTCATAAGAAAAATGATTTATACTCCAGATTCCAGACACAGAATATGATAGAATAAGCTCCATTCAACAACCCAAATCATAGAAATAGGAGGATAGGAGAAGCCATGCAAGACGCATAACAATGTGAACCATAGCTTAGAATTGTGTAATTATGTATTGAGGTATTTTTTCCTGTGAGGTGAGGCATAAGCCTCATAATTAAACAATTAAATTAGTGAAAAATATGAAATATTAAGTAACCTACTAATATTAAAGTAAGATGTTAAAGTAAAAATAATTATAATAAGGCCATTAAAAATAATAAAAAGCTACAAGCATGTTAAATAAATAGAATCCCCCACTACGAGTTCAACATAAACAATTAGTCTAAGATTATAATTTATGAATTCAAAAATCTTCCTTATCCTCATCACTTAGTGTTTTGATTAAAGTCATCATTATAGTAATATAGTTAGTTACTTTCTTCCCTCTATTATACTAAAAATAAGAAAATGAATTTACAACAACAAAAGGAGAGACGTTGGAGGACTAGTGGCGGTGCAACAATGATGGTGATGCAACAGGATTGAGTGTAGGAGTGAGGGTCATGTGGTGTGCGTTGTGAGTTTCAGGTTGTGTGGCTTTTTCATGTTTGATATGATTTTAGCTGTAGTAAATAGGTTTAATTTTACATGTATACATATGTATATTTAAATTTAAAATGATTTAAACTCTAATTTTTAAGGCTTATGACTCTTTAAAATTGTGCTATGGCGTGCCTTTCTTTAGGCATGTTTCACCCTTCTAAGATGTTTGCTTCTTCTAGCAAGAGAGAGGCATCCTCCACATTTTTTTTTGGAAATTGTATTTAGGCTATAGCCTTAAGGAGAGCATCTAATTGCTTAATTTTAAATAATGATTTGAACCATTAAAATACATCACAAAAAAACTACATAATTAATAGAAGCTACATGAACTACAAAGCAATGACAGAAATAAGAGAAAAACCTCCATACTTGTTGTTTCCATCTTGGAAAAGTTTAACTTAGATGAATGATTAAGTAGTAAGATTGTGGTTGTAGAGCTGTTAGAGGTGTTGCAACTATTTTAATTGTGGTTGTAGAGCTGTTGTGGAGAAATTTACTTGTTTAAAAGCTGCTGTAGATATTATAAATACTTGTTTTTAAAGTTGGATAATATATTTCATATAACTATGTCATTTTAGTAAATCTGGTTCTCAAAAGTAGCTTCTCACCATAGAGTTTTCTAAAAGAAGCAAAAAAGTAGCCATATTGATGTGTTCTGAGAGGTTTGAAAAGCAAAGTAATGAGAAAGTTGCCCAAATATACCCTTAAAGACTCTACTAAATGCCTTATGTATGTAGCTTTGGAATTAACTAAATAAATATGGTTTGAATTTTGTGTTTTTTAAGGCATTTATCATGAAAATTCCAAAAAATGTTGACTTGATTTGACTTTCTAAAAAGGGTTTTGAATTTTTTAAATCAACATAAAAAGCACCAACAATAAAATGAATATTGGTTTGATTGATTGAGATTGAGGATAATACAAACAAATAATTTCTCAATAGTTTTATTATTGTTGTTTTATTAAATATATTCTTAAATAGTTAATTGTTTAGTCAAAGTCGAATATTGATTCATATTTTTAACTTGTGTTTAGGGGTAGTTACTATGGGATCAATTTATATATATATATATATATATTATATATAATATATATATACTAATATTATATTACTTAAGTTAGTTTATGCGTCGGTGGCGGTCCATAGGCTGTGACGACATGGAGGGTTGGTGTGGAGGCAAGTAGGACAGCTCTGGTGACAGAAAAAGTGGTGACAATAGTAGACGTTGGGGTGACTACAGGGTGAGGACAGCCAATGGAGTGGGTTGCTGAGAGTTCTTGTTTTGTAAATATTGAAAACTCCTAAAAGTTTTGGGTATTTTAAAAAATATCTTGATTTATGTGAAAAATAGGAAATAATATTTACAAAACACTAACAAAATATAATTTTTTACAGAAAAAATTAATGCCAAATAGGCCCTTAGGTTTATATATGATATCATATTCAATTCTAGATTTTTGTTTTGATTTGTGTGCAATTTAAGGTTTGGTGCATGAATAGGCTTTGGTGCTAACTGTTAGACTCTATTTCTATAATAAGTCTAACTTTAGGCACTTCTTTTGGTAATAATTTTAGAGTTTGGATTGGTATTAAAAAGAGATTCTTAAATATCTTATACATTTTTAGAAGGCTTTGATCTTATGGGCTTTTTATCCTAGTTGAGGTAGGTTGCTGATGAGATGAGGAAAGATGTTCTAATCAGAGGAAACTCAATATCTATCAAAATTTAAACCTCTATAATCATATATTATTTTTTGATGAACTTTTACTTTAATCTTACTTGATTTTTCGCCTAAGACTAACAATAAAATAATCAATAGGCAAATAATATTTGGCTATAATTAAGTTAATTCTCATAAAATATTTAAACACAATTATGGTCATCTTTTTTTAAAGATATTAAATTGATCATGCCTTTGATCTTTATTTTAGATTTAGACGAAAAACATTTATTTTTTAACTTAATGTTTCATATTAGCCTAAATAAGGTTTACTTTGCTAGCAATTTCAACATAATGATTGAATAAATTGTTTCATTATCTTAGAAAATTTAGTTCATTGGAAATCTGACATATCATACCTTTCAAAGACTTTTTATAATTTATCTAATCAAATTTGATACTACCTTATGATCATAACTCACTTTGAATGTATTAATTGTCTAAAACCATTCCCATAATTAAGATAAATTGCATTTCAAGTAATTATTGTTGTAGATCAGTGAAATTGTATTCCCTTGTTAATCATATAATTGACCCTAGTATATGGAGCATTACTTTTAATTGGCATTGTAATGTAATCTTAAGCTCAAATACCAATTTGTTGTAGGGCCTTCTAGGGTTTAGGGGTTTTAATGCACATCTAACATTTAATGCAGATATAGATGAGATAAAATTATGCAAAATAAACATGCAAATGTGGTGGGAAGACATGCTATTATTACTTAAAGCAGTTATTTTCTAATTTTGGTGAAGTTGGAGATGCTTCAAGTTTAAGTTAAGTGAAAAGTTTTTGGTTGTTTGATTGAAAATGAAAAAAAAGAAATTAAAGATAAAAATGCCACAAGCAGTTAAACCATGTAAATCATACTTTCAACTTATCATCAATGAGTCATAATATAATGTGATAGAGGAAGTAGAAGTAAGCTGCACTAGAGTAAAATTCTTAAAATAGGATACGTATTGCAGCAGCACACTATGCGAATAGGAGAACAGGAGGAAGAGCCATAAGAATAGGAACCACTGGAGACCATAAAAAGGTTAGCAGAAGCTGCAGAATCATAGAGTAGTTGCATGAATAAGTGAAGAAACACCATCAAGTGAGCTAGGAATTTTTGGTTATGGGATGACGGTCTTATGAAGATTAAGCAGTTTGTGACTTCCTGCTAAGACTGATGATGATTGGAAAACATGTTAACAACACTTGAATAATAGACGTGACAGGGAACATGCAAGAATGCTTTTGTGTGCGTATGTGTATTGTTAAGGTATATTATTATTCCAACACATCCTTGTGAGCATATGTTAGTATATGTTTATATAGGTATATCAGTTGAAGAAAATTTTTGGAAGTAAAGCTTTAATATGAAAATTTACATATTGATTTTTTATCAGTAGAGCCATATCAAGCAACAATTTGAATAAATTTTATTTGAATTCATTAGTTTACTTATTTTATTTTATTTACTTTTAACTTTTTGTTTTTTTAACATACCTGTGAAGAATATTTATGAGGACATGTTCCCTATTGGGTTGAGATTTTTTATTGTTTTTTTTGCCTTGTTTGGTGGTGAAGGCTTTTATATTTCTATGAGCTCTAGTTTTGGGAGTGGGAAGTTTTACTTTACAATGATAATTTAGCCAGATTTATTGTGATTCCAAAAAATAACCACACTTGTTCATGTTGTGGTTATTTGTTTTTATCAATTTTGCGGTATTCTGATCCTTCAAGTTTTAGTTTCAGTTATTGTTATTGTTGTCTTTTGGCATAGTTTCGTGCTATTCTAGGTAGTGGTTGGTTGGCTGGTTTCTAATGCTCTTTGTATTGGGGACTTCATAGATTATATAGAAAAGAATAACAAATGATTGCTTTGCCTAAGAATCTTTAAAATTTAATATTTTTGTATCAGATGTATGTTGCCCATGTAGTTGGATAAAAGTTTGTTGTTGTTGTTGTTGTTGTTGTATAAGACGTTTGCTTAAAAAATGAAGGGAAAATTTTGAATTTTGTAATTTTTGGTAATTAAAATGAGTTGACTTGGTGCTAACCATATCTACTAATGTAGGGAT